AAATATGAATCCATACAGACGTGTAGAGACGCAATGTAGCAACAGAGGGGTTTTTTTGTAACTAAAACATAATTGTATGTTCGCAAAAATGGTACTGCTATTGTTTAGCAAATTGTTAGGTCTCTTCATGGTTGGTGCCAATGCCCCTTGCTGCAGAAGCAGAATCCTGTAGGAAATATGCCTGTGGAAAGCGTGTTAATGCATCTGTGTGTGTGTGTGTGTGTGTGTGTGTGTGAGTGAGTGAGTGTGTTGTAAGTGAATTTGATGACTGTGACATGGGAAAATATAGGGCACTGTGTTCCAGAGGACAGCAGGTGCATGATGTACCTTCCTCTCACAACACATCCATCTCTCCCTCTCTCTCTCTTTGAAGCAGAAGCAGTCTTGTGATGTTGTTTCCCATCAGAGGATGTAGCAAATGCTGGATCTGTTATCTAGTATTAAACCGCTGATTTAATACAGATGTTTATCTGTGCTTGTATGTGTACGATAATGCATTTATATTGATTTCCCTCTAAATTAGAGGTGAAATAGTCCCCGCCAATGAGATATACAGCACAGATATACGCCACATGCCACATGTCATTAAGTTTAAGATGATGCTGTTTAAAGAACACTGCTCATGATTTATTGAGGTTTGTTTGCATGTATGTCAGTAGCTCTCTCTCTCTATATATATAGCACATACGTGTTCTCTTATAGGTCAGGGCAGAAGATAACACACACTAACATACACAAGCAAGCTGTCACATATGCTTAGAAAGATCAAAGGGATCAGACAAAGGAAGAAAGAGGGTTGCTATGTTTTCTAAATATGGCACTACAGCATTTCCATATTTTTTTGGACATGTACCATAGTAATTCCATGGTATTTATAGTTTACCATGTGAATTCGGTAATCATGGTAATCATTTAATATCGTGGTTTATATCAAAGAACAACTTATCATCTGATACTATCATTATACCATGTCACCAACATGTAGAGTACCATAGTATTACCATGTTTTTGTACATATACTCAGATACATATCATCTGATATCATCACTGTACCATGGTACCACCATAGCTTCTTTTGTAAGAGGAATCATATGGAGGGAAAAAGTGGGTCAAATGTATGCAGAGTAACATGGAATTACAATATTATTTTGTACATGTATTATGGTTTTTCATGTTTTTGGACATTTAGCATGGTAATTCATAGTTTACTTTGAAGTATACCATCTGATGCTATTTTTATACCACAGTAAGAGTAGAAAGAGAATTCTGTTTCTATAGCATGAATGTATAAATTAAGAAGGCTAGAAGAAAAAGTGGGTGGATCTGTGAGAAAGGGAATGCATAAACGAGTGAGATAAAAGACATGATTGTAATGAGGAAAACAAGAAAGGGTGTCAAACTGGGGTGGGAAATGATGAGAGATGGGGGAAGTGTATGTAGTGTGGAGCTCGAGGGTGAAAGAGAGAGAAGAGAAGGAGGAGAGATGTTGAGCTCTTTGAGGCTCCTCTGGAGGAATAATCTGTGGCCCTTGGTGTGGTGTAAATGCCACAGAGCCTCAGGCTAAGTGAGTCAAACACAATCTCTCTGTATAGATCATTACTCGGACATCAAGATCCTATATGATTTTAAAAATAAGCTCTGGGTATAATCTAAAAGCAGAAAAGAGAAATGGTTTATATGTGTTTGAAGGGGTAGGGTATTTTTTGAGCACCAAATTTAATTATTAAATGTATACTTTTATTCAGCAAGGATGCATTAAATTTATTTAAAAAAGACATTTATAATGTTAAAAATGTCTATTTCAGTGCTGGTCTTTGGAACTTTATATTCATTGTATAATCCTGAAAATGTATGGTTTCCACAAAGATATTAAGCAGCACAACTGTTTTTAAGATTGATAATAATAAGAAAAGTTTCTTGAGCAGCAAATCAGTATATTAGAATGATTTCTGAAGGATCATGTGACTGAAGACTGGAGTAATGATGCTGAAAATGCAGCTTTGCCCTCACAGGAATAAATTATATTTTAACCTCTTAAGACCCTGCGGCCTCATATGAGGATATTATATTTTTGTGAATTTCTCTGAGACTGTACATGCCACAGTTTTAAGTCTGGATGTCCTGAACAGAGCACATTCAGGGCATTTCAGAGATACTAAAGGTTTGGATGTTTCACCATGACCACTCCCTCTCCTTGGTCTTCAAAAATGTCTGAAATTAATTTAGTGACACTCTTATGGAAATATGATCATATTTTGTAATTATCATTTAAATCTGACTAATTTTTAAACTGTGTGTCGTAAATCAACATCTCCGGAAAATGTTATGGGGTTTCAAATCAAAATATGACTTTCTGTTACGAAACAGGACGTTGATTTCATACATGTCCTCATATGAGGACACCGGGACTAAAAGCATGTTTATTACGCATTTTGGGAGACATAACAAATTAACAAGGAAAGAAATTATATTTCTATATTCTATGAAATATTATATATTATTATGAAAATCTTGTCAATTATTACTCCCATTATTACACTTGTTTTTTCATTACATGTTGCCCCAAAAGCACATTAATATGCAAATTAGATTTAGTTTATAGATACATTGTATATAATGAGAAAACCAGTTTATGGCCATTTTACACACATTTTGCAGAAAGAAAAATAGTATATTGAATCATTCTGTTATAACATAGTTGATAATCATCTTTATACAAAGTTTGATAAAAAAAAAATCTTGAAAACTAAAAATGTATTGGTGATTTAAAAAATCAGTTGTTTTTGCCTATTCATGTTCATTCATGTCTTTTTATTTTTTTTAAAGAAATTGAGTCCCGATGTCATAGCATAGCATAACTTATGAATGAAATATCTCTTTTTTAATATATATACTTTTTTACATTATTTTGAAAATGAGTAGAAAATGAGGTTGCATGTGTTTGAGATATGCTAAAATGTTTGATGTGCTGCTGTATATAGTACAGTGAAGTTGGCTGCGTTTCAAATTTCACTGCAAAGAGCCGGTTGATGTTTTTAGGGTTAATGTACACTAAATGAGGTTGCGAACATTGAAAAATTAGGTCAAGTGTTGGAGTGGGGTTAGGCATGTTGTAATGTGTGCTTCTGCTTTGGATTTGAAAGAAAAGCACTTTGAATGAACTCAGCTCTCTGAGTGGGATCAGTAAAGATCAAGTTAAGGGTTAAAGGAAGGCTAATGTGTGTGGAAATGAGTGAGTGTGGAATAGTAAAGGTCTCTGAGGCATTTGTTCATTGTATAATATAAAACAGCCTAGAGCAGCACATTTAGTCTGTTTAGGCTTGCAATAGAACAAAAAAAGGTATAAATCTCCATTGAAGGTACAAAAGCTAAAAGGTACATCTCATTTACCCATAAAGTGTACATATTAGTACCTTTTGAAAGAGATCCGCCCCAGTGACAGACAGTTTTGTACCTTTTTTCCGAAAGTGTATATATTATTTGTTTCAGCTTTAACTCAAACTGTGTTTTGCATCTTTATGTGCATGTTGTGAATGCGAATCACGACTCAAGTCTCCTGCTTGTCGACCTTGTAGCTCTGAACTTGTTTATAAGAGGCATCATCTGTGTTTTGGTTAATTCTGTCTGAAGCTGTCACCGCCGGTAAAACACTTAGGCCGAGAATGTTGCCCCATTCATAATGACACTGCAGCCAGCAGGCGACCAATCAGAGCACTTTTGCTGGCTCAGGGTGACCAGTCAGAGGAGGACAGAGAGTCGATGTCACCTGTTCCTAGAAAGATTCTTGGGTATATTTACAGGTGTCTGTGAAAGCAAATATATGTCTGGTGACCTTTTATCTGTGCACATTTTCCGTTATGTAAAAAGACTGCACTGTCTGACACTGACTCATTATAGTCTGCAAGTGTGCAGTGCTGCTGTTAAGTGTGAATCACGTCCTTCTCAAAGCAGGTCAGTCCACTCGATGGACACCTTGGTAATGCTATTTCTCGACTTTGAGGCAGAGCCATAACAGTCAAACTGTTATAGACACTCAGGGGGGAGCACTTATTCAGATTAAAAACAACATATATTCAGATTAGTGCTTAATTAATATGGCATTAATCAATTGCAAATTCTCAGCTGTTTTTAAGAGTTTTTATTCATATTCATGAAGGTTTTTTTAACAAAGGTTAATCTAGTTATTGGTGTATATATGGTGTATATAATATATATATATATATATATATATATATATATATATTTTTTTTTTTTTTTTTTATATATATATATCTATAGATTTGTTTTATTTAGAAATAATTTCCAAAACCAAAACTTTTTTTTAAATAATATTTGAATGAAGCCTTGACATAAAGCAAAAGCGGGACTATTTTTACTAGTCACCAAGTTGAATGATTTCTTTGTTTTAACCTGTTTGTATGTTTATATAGTAATGTTTCTAAAATATCTACTACTTTTCTTGTCTAGCTCTTCTGTGTGATGTGGACTGCAGTGAGGAAGAGTGTTTGGTGTGTGTGTGTGTGTGTGTGGAGCTCAAAGGAAGCTCTGCATGTGTAATGATCCATGAGAACGAGGCATGCATGAAAGAGATGGCAGAAGAGAGGAGATTTGCATACAACAGTGAAGTGGTGGGAAAGAATAAGAGATGCCATTTTTTTCCAGAGGCTTGTGATGCATGTGTGTGTTTGTGTGGGTTTCTTTTTTAAAAGGAATGCATGTTGTTTGAAATGATATTTCACAATAGTAAAACTTTAAAATGTATTAAAATAAATTATGTTTAACTGAGAGTGAAAGAGCAGGAAAGGAGAGAAAACACCTCACTAAAAAAGCACCTTGTTTTTTTTGGGATATGGTACCATGGTATTACCATGTTTTTGGACATATTTTCATTGCATTATGAATCCTGTTCCAAGTTCCGACATATTTTCAACACAAAATCAAGCACGCATGCAGTAGCTAGAAGCATTAGTGTTATTGCATGCACACACACACATATTTACCGTCACATTGGTCTATTTCCTTCCCACTCTTCCCCGTGCTGAGCCCAGTGTTGACGGTCTCAGAGGAGGTGCTGAGTTTGGTGTTGGGATCTCGTCTGGGTTTGGGCGGGGGCTGTTTTCTCGAGGTGGGACTTCCCTCCTCTTCTCCCCCTCCCACTGAGTGCAGAGACTGCGAGCGTACGGTGAAGCCTGGCCCGCAGGGAGGAGGAATGCGGTCCTGAGGGGCCGGCATCGTCATGAAGCCCATACGAAAGTGTTTGCCAGCGTATCCCCCTCCTTCCGTCACACGGGCCACATCCTCGCCAATCCTGAAGAGAGAAAGGCAGTTTACTTAAGCATTTCACAAAGTATTGAACGTGTCGTGCACCCATCTATGAACCCCATATGCTTCCTGAAAGCTAGATGGATTCCAGCATCAGACACTGTTCCAGAACAGAGCAAAATCAAGCACATTACAGAACTCCAGCACAGATTAATATTCTATTACATATCCTGTTCTAGTCCAACATTTTAATACACAAAGAATACTGCAAACACACAAACATAGCACAGATCAGAGATCAGGGGAGGATGTTTGTGGAGATTTAGAACCGGAAAAATCCTCATGCAAATATAATTAAGAAAGTAGGCTATGTGTTGTGATGAACTTTCCATTCATCAAAGAACCTTAAAAACACACACACTAAAAATATTATAACTATGATACTTATTTTCAGCTTTGAAAACTAAGCAGCAAATCAGCATATTAATAATAATTGGGAATTGCCATTATAAATATATAAAACTTTAAAATAAATGAAAAATCGAATAATAATAATAATAATTTTATAATAACAGTTATTTTAAATTGTAATAATATTTCACAATATTAGTTTTTACTGTAATTTTAATCAAATGAAAGCAGACTAAGTGAACATAAGAGACTTTTTTTTTCAAAAACATAAAACCTTTACCTATACCTTACCTCTTCCATATCCAGTATATCTACTTTATAAAATACTATATTAGACTTTCTAGTAAACTGTCAATAAAGGTTTATGATAATCTTGTAACAGATAACTTACATCTTTGTTCTTTGTTTTCCAGATTATTTCATTATTAGTGGTTTCGAACATGTATCATATTTTATTTTGTACGCAGTTTTAAGCAATATGAATGTGACAAAATATTATATGTTTGTAATGTGAGAATGTTACAGAGGAAAGGCGAATTCCCTCCATCCATCTATCCGTTCCCTCATAACTTCATGAATCTATCTTGCCTAAAAGTCATTTCTGCATAATCCAATTCAGAGCAATTTGGCTGGATTTTAAGATGATTTCTGCACCAAATATCCTATAAAAATTGAGTTACTTTCATCTGTCTGTTCATGAGAAAGTGCGAGAGAGAGCGAGAGCGAGAGAGGGAGGGAGAAGGGGGCAGTCAGTTCAATTGCTGTCTCTCAAATTCTCTCTCTCTCTCTCTGTTGGACGAAAACTAATCATACTAAAGGGCAGACAGGATTTACTCGCATTGGCTTTAAGTAACCATTCACTCACACACACACACACACACACACACACATACACACATACACACACACACATTGTGAGTGTGTAATCAGAGGGGAGGGTGTGGTGCTGTGGTGCTTCATAAAGAATGAGTGAGAGTCTGTCTGCCAACCTCACTGCACCAGTGTCCCTCATCTCTCTGCTTCTCTCCTTGCATCCTTTCATCCATGTGTGTTGTCATCAGTCTTGTCTTTCTTGTATCGTCTGCAATTTTTCCCTCCCTCTCAGTGGTCACACTTCACACTGTCTTGAGTGACCAGTCATTGTGTTTTCTTTCCATAAAGAATGAGTGAGAGTCTGTCTGCCAACCTCACTGCACCAGTGTCCCTCATCTCTCTGCTTCTCTCCTTGCATCCTTTCATCCATGTGTGTTGTCATCAGTCTTGTCTTTCTTGTATCGTCTGCAATTTTTCCCTCCCTCTCAGTGGTCACACTTCACACTGTCTTGAGTGACCAGTCATTGTGTTTTCTTTCTCTTTTCACGCTGACATTTTTAGAGGAAAATAATATTACCAAATGGCCAATCAGTCACAATTTAACTTTTTCATATGCCGATTAATGTGATGGAACAATTAAAACTATAATGTCCATGACAGAAAATACAATTGTGGCTTCGGTTGAAAGACTAAATCAGCAAAACATTTTTTTTTACTTTTTTCCATGATTTCTACACTACCATTTAAAAGTTTAAGACATTTACACTTTTATCAAATTAAGGATTCATTAAATTGATCAAAGGTGACAGTAAAGACTTCTACATATTGCAAAAGATTTCTAGTTTTTTTTAGCTTTCTATTTATCAAAGAGTACTGATAAAAGATGTATCAGGCTTTCCACAAACAGCACAACTGCTTTCAACATTGATAATTATAAGAAATGTTTTTGAGCAGCAAATCAGCATATTAGAATGATTTCTGAAGGATCATGTGCACTGAAGACTGGAGTAATAATGCTGGAAATTCGGTTTTGCCATACTGTATTTTTGATCAAATAAATGCAGCCTTGATGAGCATAAGAGACTTCTATAACAAATGCAAAATATCTTGTCGCTATTTTGTATTTCAGAAAGACTGAAAAAAACGAACCCTCCCTGTCTTAAAAGCCTCCACATCCCTCCTTTATTTCCAGAAAATGATGTATCATCATTTCAGTAAGAGTCTAGATCATTATGGTGACTCGATCACCTCATTGATGGATGTTCACATTAGCATAGAAGTGTAGTGCTCTGACAAGACCAGCTTAGACCAGCATAGCCTAGTTTATGCTGACCAGTTTGGTGCCTGCCTTTGTGTGTGTGTGTGTGTGTGTGTGTGTGTGTGTGTGTGTGTGTGTGTCAACTTTCGCCTGAGTTGTGTGGAGTAAATGTCCCCAAAAGGTAGTAAAACTTGAAATCACTTACATTGTGGGGAGCAGCTAATGGCCCTCACAAGGACAATAGATTAATAAACATAATAAATAATGTCTTAATGAAAATGCTGAAAGGTTTGTGTGAGGGTTTAAGGGTAGGGTTAGAAGATATAAAATATCATTAGCTCAGTATAAATCAATAGATGGATTTAGATGGAAAGTCTCTTCCCTGACAGAATAACAAATGTGTGCATGTGAAGGGTTAAAGGTCATGGAATAGTGGTTTGTAGAGCAAAGCTTGGATTTCCATATTTAATTAATAGAAAATGAGATTTTGCTGAAAATTTACTCATCCTCAGGACATTTAAGATGTAGATGAGTTTGTTTCTTAATCCTGAAATTTAGCATTACATCACTTGCTCACTAATGAATCCTCTTAAGTGAATGGGTGCCGTCAGAATGAGAGTCCAAACAGCTGATAAAAACATCACAATAATCCACAAGTAATCCATATGACCCCAGTCCATCAATTAACATCTTGTGAATTGAAAAGATGCCTATTAGTAATAAACAAATCAATTATTAAGTCGTTTTAACTTTAAACCATCGCTTCTGGCAAATATACAAGTCCATAATCCATAATAAGCTTGTAAACAGTGCTTGATCCATGCACATTTCTCTCCTGATTCAGACAAGATGACATTTTCACTGGAGAAAGCAATATTATGAATAGTGGACTCATATTTTAGCCGGAAGCAATGGTTTGCATCCATCTTAGTGATAGATTTGTTTCTTACCGACACAAATTTTTGCTTCACAAGATGTTAATCGATGGACTGGATTTGTGTGTTTGTGTGATGTTGTGCTGTTTTTTTATCAGTTGTTTGGACCCTCACTCTGATGGCACCCATTCACTGCAGAGTATTCTTTGGTGAACAAGTCATGTTAATGATGAACAAACTCATCTACATTTTGGATGGCCTGAGGGTGAGAATATTTTCAGGAAATTTTCATGTTTGGGTGAACTATTGCTTTAATGGAAAGAAAAGTGGCTAGCATTTAGTTGGCATTGTTTGCCTATATGCTTAGATACAGAGGATCCATTATTTAGCACGCTACTATGAATGTGAAATACTGTGCACACATACATGCATCCATATACAGTATTGATGGTTTTGTACTAAATCTTTCTGTTTCAATAAAGCAATAAGCCCCAAGAAGGCATGGTTTACAGTGAATTTATAACAGCTAAGGGGCGTTGTTAGGCATGATGCAAAGCGGCTCAACCAATCAGACTCAAGGACCGGAACTATCCATTTTATAAACACAAACTAATCTCAATGGACGCAGAGATGCAGGTTTGCCCAAAGCTGTCTATACGTGTGTGTGTGTGTGTGCAGTACTGATGTGTTATATTTGTCTGTATTGATCAGAGCTCAGTAAATAAACTTTTCTCTTTGCTTGTCCAGCAGTTTACACCCATCAGCCTTCCTCTAATACATCAACCTCTCATCCTTTCATCCTTTTCTCCAATCTTTATCCTTTAATTTTTTTTTTCCCCATGCATGATTTGAACCATTTTTTTATCGGCCTTTGTCTGCCTTTTCCATCCTTTTCACCTTTTTTACTCTGTCTTGTCTTGCCTTCTCATCCAGAGACAGCTCTCTTGGTTAATGTGACTGTTTTCCTCTCGCTCTCTATCAGTCTAACACATGTACTCCGTCTACCAAGGTGATGCACCACTCAAAGTGACCTTTCACTGACCTTCACTCATATGTCAATGTCCATGTTATTGATCTGAGCATGTCTGTAGATTTCTTCTTCAAAACACTGCCTTTCTGTAGCATTTCCCTTTAGTTTTTGTTGTTGATGTTTACATCAGGTCATAGTGACGCTGTTTATGTCAGCATAGACGATACCATTGTGCGGTTTGCGTTAGACACCAAATTGCTTTCAGGGCTTCTGGCTGCTACCATGGCAACCATGTCAAAACTATTTCCTGGCAATTTATTGAACATGAATTATCATTAATATCTGAAAAGCTGTGTTAGACAGTTCACTTCCTCTCTCTCCTATATAGTTGTGATGCAAACATGTACACAAAACGCAGACACACTATCTAACAAGAAATGTTATTTTTTATCATAAAATAAAATAAAATAATTAGTGTTTTCCGACATGAAAATAAAGGTTATATTTAGAACCAGCAAAGCTGTTTGCATTATTATTATTTTCATGACAATTAAGCGAGACTCCCTTCCACAATTCTCATTAGCCTAATGTTTATTTGAAAAATGTCTTAATGTAATGCAAAATATGTGCAAATTGCAAAAATAATGATATAACAGTTAAACTGTATATTGAACAAAAGTACATTTATAGAGTTAGTATTTATTTTTATTTTTTTTACA